GACTGTTATATTCACATTTCATTTAGCAGAGACTTTAATCCAAAGTAACACTTTGTTTTTGAGAAATTATTGTCAGAGTCTCTAGAACAACTGAAAAATTATGGATCATTCTCAAGGACCAAATGGTGAAATGACCCTGTTTACCTGGAGCATTTGAACCAGTGACCTTTCAATTACAGGCACAGCAACCTAACCAAGATAACCCTGACCCACAGAGCCACACACCATCAGCAAAATGCAGCTCCTTCAATTTAAGGATATGAACCGGCAACCTTAGTATGTTGGTGTCTTTCCTCTACAGCCCTCCACTTTACCAACTGACCTATCGGATCATGCAGAAGCAGATTTAAAATGAAATAAATCACCAAGGAAAGGATGCCTGAGCTGGATAATTTGTACTGGTGATTAACTTTTGGTTGACATGCACAGTCACTCCGGCAAAAGTCATCCGAATACAACCAGCCAAACCCTCCTGGAGACACCATTCAATATTCACACCATCACGTGGTAGTACGGCACGTGCAGGATATTCATATACAGGATGTCCGAGCAAAGGCACAGACCTTCCAGATACTCCCATAGACATAGAGGAAGTTTATTGCATTCCTCTGGCCAAGTACTGCACACACAAGTTTGGTGTGGACCGTTACTGCCCCCTCAGGCAGACCTTGGGACGGCTGATTCAATCAACACAGCAACAGGTTTACCGGCTGGAAGGCGGGATAACGCGTATCTGTACCGGATGTCTTCAGATCAATAAGAATGCGCGTTAGGGAGCTTCCACAGGCGGTCAGATACCGTGGTCTGAGCGGGTGACACAACCTCGTGGAACAAAGAGCGTGAAAGCCGCGGAGAGCGACCCGAAGTAGACACGTCGCTTTAAAGACCTAACGGTTCCCCACAAAACGCCTCTCATACCGCACCGCTACGGGTCGGTCAGGGGAACAGGCATGATTCAGCCAGGTGCCCGCCAATAACGACCAACTTCGAGTTATATATATACACACACATTCAAATGTAAAATTACAAATAAGTTACTAATCATTAAAACAATAAGGAGTAACCAGAAAGCACACGCTCCCATTCCCCAGTCGGCGTTACCCGGCTAGTTGGATACATAAACGGCGCCAGTTCTATAAAAAAAAATTTTGCAGAAGTACATCCAATACACTTATACTCTAAAAATGTCCAAATAATAAAACACAAAAATAAAAGGTCAAAACAACAGCAAAAGGGTATACTTAACATTTTTCAATACATTCAGAAAACACTTTGCCGTCTCGACCATCCTTACCAGCTGCCGACGCCATTTCAGGGCTCGTGAGTGTAGCCGTGGAAACTCAACGCGCACGCGTGAACTTTGGCCTCCGGACTGTACCACTTTGCTCCCACGGCGGGCGTAAATCGGCTCATCCACTTCATACGCGCCTTCATACCCTTTCCGGTGGGTGGTCGTGTTTGTAATAACCCTAGAGCTAACACGAAGTGACCTAATTTTATTGCATATACTTTGCATTATAAACACGTTTTACGCACAGCACGTTTATTATTTAAATATGAATTATTATTTAATGGTGTGATGGAATGCGATTCGTTGTGTACTTCAGATACGCGGTATTTTTCCTGATTTTGATCATTTCACGACGCATCCCTAAAGAACTCCTTTATTTATATATTTCATATATGTCTATAGCAGTTAGTAGATATCCCGTTTTTATTTTACAATACCGAGTGGGTTATGTTTAGTCTCTTCGGTGTTCGAAATGTCCTCGTCAACATGAATACATTCCTGCAGCTTGTCCCTGACACTGACACACTGTATAGCACACAAATCCCGTCCGCCCCAAAGGAAAAAAAAACACTTCGTGGGTGTCAGGTCGGGTGAATGTGGTGGCTAGTCAATGCTGCCACGTCGCCCGATCAAATGCGGGTCTTTACTTTGTAAAATAAAAGCTCTATACCCAAGTCTAAAACTAACTGTGTTGATTTATTTTTGTTTCTGAGTCAGCATGTTTACATGTGACTGGTGTTATGTGCTGTAAAGGCTGGGTAACTGAATGTTTGTCAAAATAATTCCATACAGTCCCAGTCAAAAGTTTGGACACACCTACTCATAGAAAGGTTTATGTTTACTATTCTCTACATTTTTAAATAATCATAAAGACATCAAAACTATAAAATAGCATTAGTTTAAGTATGCACTGACCAAAAAAGCATTAAACAAAAGAGTATTTGTTGTGGGGGGCAACAATGCAGATTGGAACTTAGAAGGTTGCTGGTTCAAATCCCTGGGTTGGTAGAGTGATCACACCATTGGGCCCTAGAGCAAGGCCCTTAACCCCAGTTGCTCCAGGGACTGACCCAACTCATTGCATTCATTGGCTGCTTTTCCATCACTCACTGATCGAACTCCTCCAAAACCAGTTTTACACCGTAATCTTTGCTCTCTCTGCCCAAACTGCCTCTTTTCCTTGGGCTCTTTTACTCTGCCATCTCTGTGTAAGAAGGATTTCTTCTCTTTTGATGCTGTTAGAGCCTGTGATATACTCTGCTCTGTGCTTGCCTCATGTTTTGACACCTTCTGTTCATTCTACTCCAGACCAGTATAAACGGACTACTGTCCTTGTCCTAGTATACATGCACGGGAGGGGAATCGATTTATTGACTGAGGTATGAGCACATGCAGCGCTCATGCAAAAGCAGCGGAGGTAAACTTTTCAAACATATACACTGCCCTGCCAAAAAGGTCACCATTTGAATTTCCATCCATCCATTATCCAACCTGATTATCCTACTGGGTACAATTAGCCTCAGCATGTTTTTGGACTGTAGGGGGAAACCGGAGTACCCAGAGGAAACCCCACGATGACATGGGAAGAACATGCAAACTCCACACACATGTAACCCAGGTGGAGACTCGAACCCAGGTCCCAGGTGCAGTGCTAATCAATGCACCCCCCCATTTGAATTTAAATCAGCAAATACTTAACAGTCAATGACTGGATCATTATCACAGCTCTGCAAGGTCATACAGCAATTAAATGAAATCAGCTGAGTACCTGAATCTACTAGGTGTCCAGAGTACTGCTTCATCAGCTTGGGGAAACAGCGCCATGACAGATGTGCGCCATAACATAGCTAAAGGCACTCCAACTAAAAATTCAAATGGTGACTTTTTTTTTGGCTGGGCAGTTTATTATATAATCTTGAAAATCAATAGTTATTAAAATGGCAAAACATGTTAGGTTTTTCTCCTATGACAGAGTAAAAATGTGTTTGGGAGACTTAAACTCCCCGCACTGTATTATTTGTACCAAATTGAAGGTAAGAAAAAGCCTGATCTAAATGTAGCTGATTAGCGATCATACGATGTTGGTGTTAATATGGCACGTCTTCCAGTAGCAACTACAGTCATTTTTTTAATTCAGTTTTTTTTCCACCATATTATTTATTTTTTGGTTGACAAGTTAAACTAACATGTCCAATACAAATATTTATGGCAACTGAATCAATAAGTAGTTAAGTACTTTTTCAAATTCAGTACAAAATACCCAACCTCGTGTTGTGATGTCATTTGGTGCCGGTACCAGTTTTTACGGCAGTGACAGCCAACACCAAAAGTACGGTACCTGGTGTAGTGGAAAGTGGTGAATTGGATGGCTTTACGATGCTGTACATTTCGTATGTGCTGTGTGGCCTCTGCTACGCTCTGCTACGCTCCAGGCTTCTTCTGTGTACCGACTTATTCTGTCACTTGCAGGTCAAAGCCCAGGGGGGAAGCTGCTCAGTATGCTCATAGCGTCTAGGCCAGTTTGAGTCCGATTGAACGTATACATGCAGGAATAAATCGACTCCCAATCGCATTATCTGGGTGTCTTAGCTTGACTTCAAGAAATTTGATTTAGTTTGATTTTCTCCTCCAATAAAGAAGAGCTTGGGGGTCACATGGTTGTTGGGCGGCTCCCAATATCTTTGTAAGAGTATGAAGGTGCTTTTTCATGCCATGAGAGCGGCAATGTCCTGTGCTGTGCTGTGCCAGTGCAGGCTGCCCAACCTGGTCTGACCTGACCTACGCTTGATGGTATTAAGGTATTATGGCATATCTTGGTATTTTGAAATCTTACTGACAAAAATGATGACGAAATTTACATCACTCAACTTGTGCAGGGACTGTAAGTAAAGTATGAATATGCCTTTAGGGTCTTTCATATTCTCTGTGGGAGCGTCAGGCTATTGTGTATTCTCTGTGAGAGCGTTAGGGTATTTTATACTCTCTGTGAAAGTTTGGTCCCTTCATCAATTTTTAAAGATATAAAATAATGAGACTGGCCTGTTTCATAGAGACTTTGGTCTTACCCAGATTATTGTAATCTTGTAAGAGTGTGGACACTCCACCCACCTGTTAAAATAAATTCCAGTATTTCAAGCTTTTTGAGTAAATTTAATGCAGATTTATCCAGCTTGAATAAATCAGATTGTATCACGCAAAGGGGTTCAATAAATTTAATTAAAAAACACATTCAGAAACTGACACATTCTGGTTGCTAAATTTTTTTTAAGTTAAAGTTTAAACTACAAATGAAAGGTACACTTCATATTGAAAATTGAAGTATTATTATTTAATAATGATGATGATGATGATGATGATGATGAGAAATGCACATCTTTCTACTATGTTCATCTTGAAAACTCACAGGTGGGTGATGTTTCAGCCTCATCTGTTTACACATTGTTTCATTGTACAAAGAGGTTTTGGTTAGTCCTTCGATGGTGATATAGTCAGTAGTCATTGTGCTTCTGCAATGAAACAGTAAATTCAGCCATTTTATATGCAGCCTGGTTCTTCAGTGCAATTGAAGCGCAGATCAGACCCATTGTATGGACCAGGCTGTTTATGTTGCAGATGTAAGCTTGCAAGGGTTCCTTATCCTGGACACAGTCATCTCTGAAGGCTTCACTGTGGTCATCAGTACACACTCCATGATTCCAAGACAACAAGATCAAGTCTGCACTTGTGTTTACTTTATTGGATTGAAAGTTTTGTACTAATAGAGATTTGTACTATAAAGACAGCAGTCAATCAGTTTATGAATCACATCAGTCAAAAAAAAACTTCTTTTTGATTATTGGACAGTAGACATCTTCATCTGCACCTAAATTTGCAAAACAGAGAATAAATCTGCATAAACCATCATATCTACTACTACAAAATGTACAGTATAAACCAATGAAACCCAACACCACCTGACTTATGATGGGTTGTGACCCAGTACACTGATGACATACTGAGCACTCCTTACCCTCCAGTTCCTCGACAGATCAGTCAAAACGTCCCAGGTAACCATACCCTGAAGCCCAAAACATAAAGAGTGTGTGCTATGATTCTTTGCCAAGATATTAGTTATTTAAAGTTATTTAATGCTTTAATGATGAGTTTCTGAAAAGGAAGACTAGTATACTAAAGTATATTACCAGTACCGGAGGATGTATTGCTTGAGCTAACTCAGTATAGTATAGTAAAAGTATACTGTGTATATTACCTGACCTAACACAGTACAGTATAATAATTGAATTCTGTGTGTAATACGTTTCCTTACACAGAATAGTATAGTAATAGTATACTGTGTGTTTTATCTGAGCTAATCCAGTAAACTATAATAATAGAATACTGTGTGTATTACAGTTATTTCAGTATTATTAGTATAATGTGTGTAGTTCCTGAGCTAACGCAGTAAAGTGTAGGAGTAGTATATTCTGTATATTATCTGAGCTAATGCAGTATTGTATAGTAATAGTATAATGTGTGTTTTACCTGAGTACTAACGCAGTACAGTATAGGAGTAGTATACTGTGTGTACTACCTGAGCTAATGCAGTATTGCGTTGTAATAGAATGCTGTGTGTATTACCTGAAGTAACACAATATTGTGTAGTAACAGTATAATGTGTATAGTACCTTCTTTGTAGCAGTACTGCCATTGATGATCCTGGTCATAGTTGCCTGTAGATGAGCACCATGGTGGGCCCACTTCCCATGTTCTGATGCAGTAATCATACAATTTACCCTGGTATAGAAAGGGGAAAACACAGCTGGCCACTGCCCAGCCACAGAGGGCATTACCTTAATTACTTCATATAAACCCTGGGAGAGGTGTAAATGCAGAGGAAAACAGGTGGAGAGAGATGTTAGAGGTCAACTTACCAGGGGCCTGCCAGGCCTCATCTGCAGTAAATGAAAATCACTGGACGTTAATGATAAAATAGTGTCACTGTGTTCATTTTGCAGCTCAACATGTTCATGTTATTAAAGTTTAAGTGTGCAGAGCTTCTTTTTAAGTCTTTGTGCTGACCCTGTTTTGTGTTAAGCATGTCTGTTTGTTGACTAATAGGATCTGCAGAAAGATTGGCTTTGTGTCAGTGTTTTGCTGCTCCCTCTTGTGGTCATTGCAGACATGGCACTTTGACATCCATTAATTGAAACCGCGATCAAACTGTAGCGGAAAAGGAGACCTCTGTTTCCTGATTAGCCTGCATATAATTAAAGTGAACTGTACTGTTTATAATGTGCTTTAATATAAAACGAGCGGTATATAAACCATATAGGCTACATAAAAAGACAGCATGACGGCTTACTCACCAAGTGGTTCGTCTTGGGGAGGGACTAAAGCAGAATAAAGATAATGTTAATGATGTTAATAATAACATAAGCATCATCATATGTTAAGGGTGGCACAGCGAGTAGCCCCCCCCCCTTGTTTGGAGGTTAGAATCCCTTCCATACTGTGTCTGGAGATCATGGAAACTTCACATATGCAGAGGAGGTAGGATTCAAACCCCCACCCTAATGGTGCTAATGGTGAGCCAGTAAGGCCCCCCACCCCACATCCTGCCTCTCTGCAGATTGCTGACTGACCAGCCTGCTCCCCCAGCACTGATTTTGGGAGATGCTGTACTCCTCTTAGCAGCTAGTTTTACAATCTGTAATGAAACAAAACTAATATAGTCCAACATAATATAATACAAATTGTTGATATCATTTAACAATTTTTTGCTTTTAAGGTGAAAAAAATACTCCCGTAAAATCCTTAAATGAATAGATCTATCTTTTCTGAAAGCTGTGTTACTGAATACTAACAGCGATACCTCTGATCATTTTTTCCTAATGCTGACGTACCGGTGAAGCTCGCGCTGAGGGCAGCGAGGATGAGGAGGATCACGGCCACTTTCAGCATGCTGGCGTCTTGCCTCAGAACTCGCATCTGACTGCATCTGTACCGGGGAGCTTTTATATGCACGGCGTGACCACAGTGTCCGCTGGGTCCTGCTAACTGCGGAGCATGTAGGTGTATCCCGGACATACCCACATCACACGGTGGGTCACCAGCTTGGAACATTTCCCAGGCCTGAGCTGCAGCCATTAGCCAATACGACATCACATCCCCTATGGAAATAATAGCTTGTACCACCCAGAAAATAGAGGGTGACAATATTGTCCGACTGCCAGACCTGTCAGGTGAAACAATGGAGTCTGGTTTTAAGTGGGACTTAAAGAGCTACAGCACAATGACACAGTGTTTGATAGACTCTGATGTTTCCCCAGGTGCAGAATTATCAGTTAATGTCATGTGATGCTGATAGTCTAATGGGTCTTACATAATGTGCTTAATGCCACGGACTGGACCAGTGCCACATCCTCACCCTTTAGGAAAATGTCAGTTAGGTACCAGTGCTGTGAGACTGAGCTTCCAGTGAGTGACTCGGAAACAGTGCAAGATATTTATGGGAGCAAGAGCTATACAGAGACTATTTGGTACCTAAGATGTGAAAAGACATTTATATAAATAACACTAAGAGAATCTAGTAGGAACTGAACTGAAGTAGGAAATACAAGAAGAGAGAATCCAGAAGTGCAACCATTTCAATGGAAGAGCAGCGAAGAACTGAGGTGTTCCTGGACCAGAGGGGTCTTAAGATGTTTCTTGAAAGTCATGAGGGTCATGAAAAATGTTTTCATGTGGTGAAGGAATTTCCTGCTGAGCATAGAGGGTCCAGATAAGATCCAAAGTGGGTAGCTGCCCTTCCATCAACAGCTCTGAGATCCAGGAACAAAGATCTGAATTTGATGTGAGCACCTTCAGTATAGATGGCCAGTAGAGAGACATGAGGAGGGGTGTGACATTTTTGGCAGGTTGAATAGCAGAAATGCGTCTACATTCTGAATCATCTGCAGGGGTTTCACAGCACAGGCTGACAGGCCTGTCAGTACTATATTCCAAGGAATATTACTGTAATAAAGGACACCACACTACTGCACAGTGATACAGTAATACATCGATACATAGGCAATGCGAATGCAGGTATCTGCAAACTGCACACACACACACACACACACACACACACACACACACACACACAGGTTTGTAATTATGTCTCTGTGGGGACTCTCCATTCATTCCTATGGGGAAAACTCTAATCACGACATGACAACCCCTATGCCCAGCCCTAACCTTAATCATAAGCAAGCAAACAAAATCAACCAAACCAAACAAAAGATCTTTGTCGGGACCTGAAAAATGGTCCCCACAATGTACAATAATATAAACCTTAAGGAATCATTGTATTGTTAGCCTTTCCTTTGTTTATCCATCCATCCATCCAACTATTTTCTGCCACTCAGCTGGGTCTGGGTCACAGGGGTAACAGTCAGAACTGGGATATCCAGACCTCCCTCTCCCCAGCCACCTCCTCCAGCTCCTCCAGGTTCTCCAATGAGATACCAAGGAGTTCCCAGACCAAATGAGAATTTCACCAGAGAGGCATCGAGAAGATATCCTAGACTGATACCTGAACCACCTCAGCTGGCTCCTTTTGATGAGGAGGAGCAATGGCTCTACTTTGAGCTCATCCCAGATATGAAGGAAGCTCATATCTGCCGCTTGCATCCATGTTATCATTCCTTTGGTCACTACCCAGAGCTCATGGGCAGCTTCCCCTTTTGGCTCAGCTCTCTCTTTACAATGGCAGATTGGTACATTGTCCCTATCTGTCCCCCCTCCGTTATGGAGGGGGCAATCCACCCTTTTTCAGATGAGAACCATGACCTCTGATTTGGGGGTGCTGATCTTCATCCCAGCCGCTTCACACTTGGTTGCAAACCACCCCAATGCATGCTGCAGGTCCCAGCCCGATGAAACCAACAGGACCACAATATCTGCAAAAAGCAAAGATGTGATCCTGAAGTCACCGAACCAGACACCCTCCACCCCTTGTCTGCGCCTTGATATTCTGTCCATAAAAGTTGTGAATAAGGGTCTTTTGAATCACCCTTAGTCTGGCCCCTCATCTAGGACAACTTGGCATTACAGGGGTAATGGCCTCCAATGACATAGCTTACCGGAGCATTGGGATACACTTACCCCTCCACCGTAGTAAAGTGGTGATTCATGAAGGGATTCCTCTGTTTACTCCTGTATATTTAGCCTTTCCTGTGTTTATTACTTTGAATTTTGCCTGCTCTATGTTCATCCCTGTGTATTTAGCCCTTCTTTTGTTCCTTACTTTATATTTAGCCTTCTCTGTGTTTCTTCTGGGGCGTCATGGTGGTGCAGTGGTTAGCACTGTTGCCTCACACCTCTGGGACTAGGGTTTGAGTCTCCACCTGGGTTCTGTGTGTGGAGTTTACATGTCCTCCCCATGTCATCGTAGGGCTTCCTCCAGGTACTCTGGTTTCCCCCTCACAGTCCAAAGAGATGCTGAGGCTAATTGGGGTTACTAAAATTGCCCATAGGTGTGCGTGTGCTCTGTGATGGGCTGGCCCCCCATCCTGGGTTATTCTCCACCTCGTGCCCATGGCTTCTGGGATAGACTCCCCACAACCCAGTAGGAAAATGGATGGATATTTATATATATTTATATTTAGCCTGCTCTGTGCTCCTTCTTTTGTTCCTTACTTTATATTTAGCCTGCTCTGTCTTCGCTGTCTTTCACATGTACATTAGCGTGTGGCTGATTTCGTGTTTCTTCCTGGTGAACTTTTATACTCAATTCCAGGGTGTGTTCAGAACATCAGAACACAAACACTCCCCTCTTGTTCAAATTAAGGCGTTGCTGCTCCGGATGTTTCTACATGAGGTGTGACTCTGCAAACTGGAGCAAAGAGCCAGGACATGGTTGCCCCGAGAGACTGGTGCTGGTAAACAACTACAGTACGCAGACAGGCTCAAAAGGTTTACTTGCTGTCCGACTAAACTTTAGGAAGCTACGATTTTTAAAAAATTGTTATGTGATTGTTGGTGCCAAAAATGGTGATTCCAATAAAGGGTGAAAGAGTGATCTCACTGCAGGGGGGGGGGTAGAATTTGCCAACCTGTGGAGGGAATGTTCTATGCAAATTTCTGTGAGTTTTGTGTGGTAGGCTGTCGTCAAAAGAGGCAGTCAGTAAAATTTGCTGGGGGGGGCAGTACTATTAAAAGTCGGCCCCCCTGCTGTGATGGGTCGATGCCCCTCTACCTCCTCCACCCTCTAGGTGTTTCCTGGGACTTTTACACACTGTGATGCTCAAACTTTATAGAGAATGGAGTGATGAACATCCAGTCTTGGGCAGATGCAAAGGCACCTTGTAAACAGCAGAGGTCAGAGGAGAAAGGCCAGCTCATTAAAGCTAACAGGAAGACCACAAGTGCAAGAATCACAGCTCAGTGCAACAGTGGTGTGCAGAAAGGCTTCGCTGAACACACAGCTCGGCACTGGCCACTGAATGAAGAAATAATGTTGAATAAAAGTGTATTTGAACACCACATCTGACTGTTTTCAGCTTCCTGAACTGGAAAGAGCTGGGATTTGTGTGACCATACACAGAGCAAAGCAAACCTCCATGGAAGTCATTGAAGTGAGCCTGTTTATCGTAACTATTGTGGAATCCAGTGCCTGTTTTAATATCTCTTTATTCAGTTATGATCAAACAAGCAGCCAGGAGACATTTGTGATCAAAGGTTATGGAAATGGGAAATGTAAACAACTCATTCAAGTATAGGTCACTGAGTAACAGAGCATACCTTTAAAAACCGCACATAAACAATCAGAAAATCTATAAAACGTTACTAGACCAGGTTTCCTGTAGAAGTTGTAGGTTTGGTAGAATTACATCTACATCTGCTAACTTTTCAAATGAATTCTACATTTTAATTCCAATATTGAATTATTAGCAGCTTAAATGTTTTATTATAAAATGGAGTCTGTGTGTGTATAAAATGTCATTTACATGGCACTTTTATTTTTTTTTTTAAAAAATGACTTTGTGGCCAGCAGAGTGACACTCCATGTGAAAAACACTCTTCATGATGGTATCTTCACCTACATGTGAAAAACAGAGGAAAGGGTTAAAGGTCAGAAATCCAACAGAATACAAGACACCCCAAGGCTTATGCAGTCAACATCCAGCACAGAAATGAAAACGGATGCAAAAACCTCTATAAACCGTAAGCCAGTGAGGTTTGATGGTCAAAACAAGTACAATGAGTCTCAATCCAACAGTCTACCTGAATGAGTCCTTACCAGGGTTCAGCTGAGTCATGGTGTCATGGAGTTCAACATAAGCCCACCCTGAAATGGAAGGCAAGGTAGCAAACATAATGTACACATCAAGGGGGTCAGAGTGGTGCAGTTTAAGGTTTATATGTTATATGTAGGTATAAGTAACAAGGTACAGTTACGCTATATGTACAAAAGTATTGGGATACCTGGACATTACACCTACTGGAACTTTTATGACATTCCATTCTAAATCCATAGGGACCAATATGGTATATCTACCCTTTACAGCCATAACAGCTACCACTCTTCTGGGGAGGCTTTCCACAAGATTTTGGAGTGTGTCTGTGGGAATTTTTGCCCATTCATCCAGAAGAGCATTTGTGAGGTCAGGCACTGACCTGGCATGCAATCTCTGTTCTAATTCATCCCGAAGGTGTTTGATAGGGTTGAGGTCAGGGCTTTGTATGGGCCAGTCAAGTTCTTCCACACCAGACGCACCCAACCATGTCTTTATGGACTTGGCTTCGAGCACTGGTGTACAGTCATGCTGGAACCCAAAAGGGCTGTCCCCAAACTGTTCCCACAAGGTTGGAAGCATAGAATTGTAGAAAATGTCTTGCTATGCCGAAGCATCAAGAGTTCCCTTCATGAGAACGCCTCAAAAAGAACCCCATACAATTATCTGTCCTCCACCAAACTTGAAGGTTGCCACAATGCAGTCAGGCAGGCAATATTTTTCTGCAATATGCCAAACCCTGACTTGTCCATCAGACAGAGAAGCTTGATTTGTCACTGCAGAAAACATATTTTCACTGCTCCAGAGTCCATGCTTTACCACTCCATCCGACACTTGGCATTAGGCTTGGTGGTGTGAGGCTTGCATGTAGCTGCTCGGCAGATGTGGCAATTTCAGGTCCAGAAAGTAAAAATCCAGACCATGATTTACTTTCAACCAACCGATTGAGTATGCTCAACTGGTTGGTTGAAAGTAAATCATGGTCTGGATTTTTACTTTTTGGATCTGAAATTGCCACCTCTGCTGCTAGGCCAAGGAAACCAATTCCATGAAGCTCCTGCTGTTTTTGTGCTGAGGTTAATGTCAGAGGAAGTTTGGCAGTTACTGAGTCAACAGAACGTTGGCGACTTTACAGGATCTGCCACTTCATTGATGAGTTTCTGTTTTTTCTAAACACCTCCACTTTGCAATAATACCACTTACAGTTTACCGTGGAATATCTTGCAGGTAAGACATTTCACAAACTGACTTAGTGCAAAGGTGACGTTCTATGACAGTGCCATGCATGAATCCACTGAGCCCTTCAGAAAGACCCATTGTTTCACAATTGTTTGTAAACCTGATTGTATGGCTGGGTGCCAGATTTTATACACGTGTGGTAATGGGTTTAGAATGAAACACCTGAATTCAATGACTAAGAGGAGTGTCCCAATACTTTGGGCAATATGGTGTATATTCTGTGGGTAGAGGAAATGCCATGTACCTTATAGCTGTATAAGGTGCAAAACAGCGCATGAAATCATTTCAATAATATCATATAAGTCTGCTTCCGCAGTGCAGTGCTCATGTCCATGTTTATGGATGTACATTCTGTGGTGCCTGTCTTGGTGTAAAAGACTATGAGTGGAACTGGAATTTTTTTTTTGTTTGTTTTTTTTTTTTTTTTTACCTGAACTTGCATTGCTACCACTTGATTTTGGAGTGGAGATTCCCTGATGGGACTATGTGTCACCTGAGCTGGGACTGTACGTCACCTGAGAGGTAGGGAAGCTGGAGCGGTAACGTGGCACTATGGACCATCCCCAGAACCACCGTTGGTTTCCTCCCCACCCTTGACTATGGTGAAGATAAGCTGGTGGTTGTCATCCTCGACGCCTGTTGATCAGTCAGGAGTGAAACAGAAATTCCAGAATGATTATCTGCAACATCTATATGACAGATTTTGTAAAATACAACTGCATCAATTGATAGAATGTACTTAGTCAGCTTAGGCGTACAAAACGGACATTAAAGGATGAGCTGTGAGTGTGTGGTTTTCTCCACCAGATGGTACAATATTTCGTGAGGAATTCATTCTAATGATTGGAGAAACTCTGCACAGATGTTTACATAACAGTTATGAACTCACAGTCTTCTGAATTCCTACTGAGAGGGTCTAAAAGAGAAAAAGACAAAGATAAGGTGAAGTGGGAACCTCAAAGCAGATTTATACGTGTGTAAGGTGACACAGCTCTTCACAAGAGTCCGTCATATACTCACAGACGGTGTCACTGTCCACTGGCCTGCCTGTAAATGGAGATGCACATCAGAAAAAAACCCACAAATCCTTTGTTTGTGAAGATGTAAACCACAGTGTCCACTCTAATATGCATGTTCAGAAACAGAGCAAATCCCGAGCACCTGCTCATACGGAACAACTTGCGTCGATGTTCCTCCGCAGCCTCAAAACACCATTCCATATTCCTGTCTGCATTCCTCCTCTACCTCGGGACACTATCTGCCTTCCTCTTCTGCATCAGGATGCCATTCTGTGTAACTCTCTGCCTTTCTTCTCTGCCTCGGGACACCATTCTGTGTTACTGTCTGCCTTCCTCCTCTGCGTCGGGACACCATTCTGTGTTACTGTCTGCCTTCCTCCTCTGCCTCGGGACACCATTCTGTGTTACTGTCTGCCTTTCTCCNTTCTGTGTTACTGTCTGCCTTCCTCCTCTGCCTCGGGACACCATTCTGTGTTACTGTCTGCCTTCCTCCTCTGCCTCAGGACACCATTCTGTGTGATTTACTGTTCAGTTTCTGCTTCAGTGTTCTCATCATTATTGCCTAATGCTGTTGCATGCTATTCTTTGCTCTTCCTTATTTTTTGAGCATTCCATTATATTGTGTACGTATGACAATGAACTTGAACCTTGAGTCGCTCAGAATTTTAGCTTCGTTAAACTCACCAGCTTGAGACTCCCAAGAAAGGTCTAGAATAAATCAGAAGCAAAACATCATTAACTCAGATATGCAGAAGTGAGTTTGAAAAACAAACAGCTTTCTGTTAATTACAAGCTGAAACCTCTTGAGATATTTCTCTATCTCACAAGTCATCCATCCATCCATCCATCCATTCAGACTCCTCCCATGCACAGAGACAGGGGCACAAAAGGAACCCACAGTCATGTTCTTCCCACCCCCTGAGCCATTGCCTGAGGGCAACACATCTAAATAAACAGAATAGACAGATAAACAGTGAGGGGAATTAGCAGTGTGCTGGATTAGCAGCGTGATTAGCAGATAGCACTGTAGCTCACAGGACAAATGACAAAACTCTACACTGAATCATAATTTACGTAAAATTCTCTTCTGTGTTACTGCCTGCCTTCCTCCTCAGCCTCAGGACAACATTCTGTGTGATTTACTGTTTAGTTTCTGCTTCACTGTTCTTATTATTATTGCCTGATGCTGTTGCATGCTATTCTCTGTTCTTCCTTAATTTTTGAGCATTCCATTGTATTGTGTACGTATGACAATGAACTTGAACCTTGAGTCGCTCAGAATTTTAGTTTGGTTAAACTCACCAGCTTGAGAGTCCCAAGATAGATCTAGAATAAATCAGAAGCAAAACATGATTTACTCAGTTATGCAGAAGAGAGCTTGAAAAGCAGACAATTTTCTGTTACGAGCAAGATGCAACTGGTTGAGGTCTTTCTCTACCTCACAAGTCATGCATCCATCCATCCACCCACCCATCTATCCATCCATACATCTATCCATTCAGATTCCACCCATGCACAAACACAGTGGCAGAAATCGAACCCACAATCATGGTCCTCCCAGCCACTGAGACACTGCATTAGCTGCATAATGGATTACCAGCAGGATGGATTAGCACTGTGCTGGATTAGTAGTGTGATTAGCAGCTAGCACTGTAGCTCACAGGACAAGTGACAAAACCCTGTACTGAATCAGCATTTATGCAGAATGCTTTCTGTGTTACTGTCTGCCTTCCTCCTCTGCCTTGAGACTCCTTTCTGTGTTACTGTCTGCCTTCCTTCTCTGCCTCTGGTCACCATTCTGTGTTACTGTCTGCCTTCCTCCTCTGCCTCGGGACACCATTCTGTGTTACTGTCTGCCTT